TGTTTAAGATAAAGGGCCTAAAAGAGCAAAAACAAAAGGATGTTCTGGTTTCTGGACAATAACTTGAGTATAAGTCTATGGATCTCTATGAAATTGTAACACAAGGTTCCAAACCAAAAAGAAAGGTTGGGATTGATTTTATAGGGTAATGGTCCTAACCGTTTATTAATAATGGGCCAAAAACAAAACTTTTATAATACTTTGTTTAAATCGTTTATTTCTTGACCAATTTCAATGGGGTTTAATTCAAAGTCTTGAATTCTTGGGGTTGCTCGTGTTGCCCATGCTAGTACAAACCCGGTAATAAGTCTAATTCGGTAGGTCACATTCGGGAAAAGGTGACGGGATTGTAGTTACGACAATTTGAACATATCCGCTATCATCTGTGAAATGGGAACTCGTGATGGCGTCCGTAAAATTTACGAAGGGATGATTTCTACTTCACAACTTGGCACTCTTGGTTTAAGAACTTCCTTGTGAGCAGCAACCCTCTATTAAGGAAATCATGATAGGAAATACAGGCCCTGGAATATCGTATCGACTGGGAGATATATACTCCTTATGTAGGCGCTGCTGGAATGTTGCTACATAGAAATGGAAAGTTCACAATTGGGAAGCTGAAATCATCTCTTTTGTCGTAAATTTTATTTTTAACCGACCCTCATTGTCAATTTCTAGATGTAAGTCAAGATATGAGGCAGACTTAACTGTATCTGTTGTATCCTTTATCTCAAGTTCGATGTGATAGAAGCGTTCAACATTGTCACCAAATTTTGGATTATTTAGTGAAAGAACATCATCTATATAGCGGAAAGTAAAGTTAGATAATACTGCTAACTTCTTTTCTTTCTTCCTTGGAAGTTCCTGCATGAAGTCAGCCTCATATAAATAAATGATCAAGTCGGCAAGAAGAGGACAGTTAGTTCCCATTGGAATGCCTATTGTTTGTTGAATATTTAATCACAATCCAAATTCAGAGCTATATAAAGCTTGAATGTAGTGTCCATACTTGCATCAACTGTTTAGGGTTCGACCTCTACAGTGGTATCAAACTGAGCCATGTGGAGCATTTTATTAGATGAATCTCTTGTACTTTTTCTGACAAAAAAAAAATGATTGTCTACCTTTTTGTAACTGTCACAGTCTAAACTTTGGTATCTACTTAGTGAACAACATATGAGTATGTCAGGTATCTGGGTCATTGTATAAAATATGAGGACATTCAATTTTCAAAAATAAAACATTAAAGATATCTGTTTATATTTCATTGATTGCAGAGAAGTTGAGCCATTCTTTCAAAATATCTGCAAACAACATACCAAACCCAGAAATGCTTTCTATATTCTGTGAGATGTAATGGTTTACAATGTAACATTAAGGACATTATTACACCACAAATGTTACACCATTGACCTATTGTCATGGGTGTAACATCAAAATATTGACCAATTATTATACATTGTCAGAGTAGGCAAAATTATCTTTAGCATTGATGTTATGATGAATGAAGGTATAATACGTTAACCATTATATTTATTACAAATATTAAATTGATAAAAATACTCAAATAACCATGGTATAACAAAATGTGTCCATTGGGATAGATTACATCTAATATAACAGCAAATTGTTCTATCAAAATAAAATTCCCTAAAGGAGGAAAAACATGCATTACTAAATAAAACATACGACATTATACAATTATTGACTTGTGATGAGGTTGATACAATGATTTATCAACTCCAGAGATATGATATTCACCGAGGCCAACGGCCGAGGGAGAATGTCTTATCTATGGGGTTTATAAATCATTTTCTCTAAATTTTCTTCGTCAATTTATCCTTTTCTGCGCCCATTGTATAAAACAAATTTAATCAACGTGTGGTTCGTTTGATCTCAGTTCTTCATTGGTTAAAATCCGATTATGACGTCGAATTTTCTTGCTTTCCTCTTAATTTCCTGAAAAAAGGCGACCATGCCTGATGACGTCACATAGAAAGAACACATCTTTTTGCAAATCATTCAAAAAGAAGGAATAAGTTTGCCTGCATATTGTTTGAAAATCATTAGAGAAACAGATTCCACCACCAAATCTCGTGTGATACGATATTTATCCACTCTCGACAGTAAAATTTAAAATATTTAAAACGCTCGGCGAGCCTCGCGTTTTAAATTTGAAAATTTAACTGTCTCGAGTGGATAAATATCGTATCACACTCGATGCAGTGGTAGAATCTATATGTATCAACTGATATCAATAGTCAATAGATATAAGAATATGTGGTATGAGTGCCAATGAGACATCTCTCCATCCAAGTCAAAATTTATAAAAGTACATTATAGGTCACAGTACGGTCTTCAACACGGAGCCTTGGCTCACACCGAACAGTAAGCTATAAAGGGCCCCAAAAAATTACTAGTGTAAAACCATTCAAACGGGAAAACCAACGGTCTAATCTATATCAAAAAACGAGAAACGAGAAACACTTATGAACCACATCAACAAACGACAACTACTGAACATCAGATTCCTGACTTAGGACAGGTGCAAACAAATGCAGCGGGTTTAAACGTTTTAATGGTACCAAACCTTCACCCTTTTTCTGAAACAATAGTGTAACATCACAACATAGAAAGACACACTATAAAATATCAACTGAAATAGCTTAACTCAATCAAAGGACATATTAACACCATTGAACATACACTGAACAAATAAATTTGACCTATGACACAATGTAAATACAAAATAAATAAACTAAGGGAAGAATAATAAAAGTAACATGTTATATCGGAAAGAAATGTTAAACAATTAAAGAAAAACAATATGCTCGAACAAAAATACCATCCATTTGCAATAACTTTAAACACAGGTAAATGAAAATAATTTTGTTGTTAGGTATACCTGTACAGTACCAATAGAGAAAGGAAACAATTGTTTTATTTTATTATATGACTATAAATTTTCTGTTTTCACATTGGCTAAAAAAAACACAGGAAATCCTCTTTGATAAAACATTATATTCATCGCGGCAAAAATCACGAGAGGTTCATATAAGATTTGGGACAGGTCCGTGTACCTAAATATAGATATTCCAAGGCAACGTCAATGACGTAGGTTTATGACGTCCTGTAATTCCCGTTTTTTTCTCTTTCTTTTTTTCTTGTTATCGGTGTATTTGTTTAATAAACTTTATTGAATATTTCAACTTATGAAAAAGCAGAGGTTATATTTAGTATAAACATGGGGAGCAAGTTTAAAATTATCTTGAGCAAATACTAGAAAATTGGAGAAGAATAAACAGTCATATAATAAAACAATTGTTGACTTTTGATTTCAGTTGATACAATGATTTATCAACCCCAGTGATATGACATTCACCCTCGGTCGTTGGTCTCGGTGAATATCATATCTCTAAGGTTGATAAATCATTGTATCAACTGAAATGAAAAGTCAATAATTGAATAATATTACTTTTTTTTTATCCATCTCCAATTTCTAGTATTTGCCCAAGATATGTAACTGGTCCTTTTATACTAAATGGATTATTTGCTTTGAAAGTTGCTAAACTTTTATTAGTTGAAATATTCAATAAGATTAATTAAAAAAATAATATCGAAAAAAGAAGAATAAAATGTTAATGTGCATGACGTCATAAACCTACGTTATTGACGTTGCCTAGGAAAAAACTATTTATTGGTACATGTTAGCTGTTCCAAATCTTATACTAACCTCTCGTGATTTTTCCCGCGGTGAATATAACGTTCTATCAAAGAAAATTCCTTACGTTTTTAACCAATGAGAAAAGAGAATTTTTATAGTAATATAATAACACTAAACAAAACACACAACATCACTAAATAAAACATACGACATGACTAAATTATGATTAGATTATTAATAGTACATCTTGGTGAAACAAAGGTCCCCATGAAACACAGTATTATTTATGCTGGAACTTTGATTGATAGTAATATGAAATCATACGATCGTACTGAAAAGGCGTACAAAAAGCTGAAAACGAATCTACATTCTCTATATATAGTATAGGACTTAATCAGAATGGCATGAACTCAATTACAAACACTATTATTTGGAAACTTATTGTGTTACCAACTGTACTGTACTCGTGTGAGCTTTGGAGTCAGTTAACATTTTCTGAAACTAGAATGTTAGAGCAAACACAACGATACTTTGCGGGATTTTCTCGCTGTGTTGAAGACCCATTGGTGGCATTGGGCTGTTTTCTGCTCTTTGGTCGTCGGGTTGTTGTCTCTTTGACACATTCCCCGTTTCCATTCTCAATTTTATTTGTACGACTTATAATAGGTCTAGCATATCGGTCACCAACTGGTTCTTGTACAAGTACTGTCGGACTCTGGTCAAGGACTCATCGATAAATTCAAATTAGTGTTCCTTGGACGTTTGTTCAGAGCTAAATCCAATAAAACTCCAAAACAATTATTTAATCTAAGTCTAAGTCATGTTGCTTAGCAAATCCGATAAGCGGCCAATAACATACGACTTAATAAAAACTCTGATTAAATATGACATGTCTTCTTTTCTTGATAGTTACATAGATGATCTGTATATCCCTGATAAAAAAAAAAAGCTGTGGTCCAAAATTGTGAGTCAATCAATTTTGATTTAAGAAGAAAATATTTGGAAATCGTCTACTCAATGTCGACCAGAACTTCGTCGTTACTATGAAATTTAAAACAGATTATCTATTGACAGACCTTTACGTCTCGCCGTTGTCTATCCCTTTTGAATGATAAATTATTAGTCATGGTAAAACTGGGCTCAATAGCAATAAAGGATGGCCAATGCTCTTTATGTGGTTGTCATTCCACTGATGTCGTTCAATACTTAATTTTATACTGTGAAAAACTTTTGGATGCAACATATAACATATTTTACGGAATTGTTGATGTTTTACCAGTTCAGGAATATGTACGCTTTTTTCAGCAAGATGATGGCGATATAGTCGTAGCCTTACTTGGTGATATTACAGATGATTTTATGCAATCTGTGAACTCTGACAACTGGAGAAACATGATGTGCTGCTTGGCAGATCATATATTTCATCTGTACGGAAAATTTAAAGCGGAATTATCTCAGCATAGATTAAATTTTGGACACTAAAATATTTGTCATCAGGCAAATGTAGCATATACATATACATGTATATATAAAATTTATGGGTTTTTTTGTTGTGCTTTAATTGTAGTTTGTAATTATTTGTTGTTTTTTTCTAATTTTGTAATTAGTATACTTGTGTTGAAAAATGTAAATCTTCAGTATAATGGAGGAAATAAAGAAAATCAATCAATCAATCAATCAATCGACATACTAATAGCACATACGACATCACTAAATTATTGATAGCACATACGACATCACTAAATCATTATTAGCACATACGAAATCACTAAATAAAACATACGATATCACTGAATAAAACATACGATATCACAAAATAAAACATACGATATCACTGAATAAAACATACGATATCACTAAATAAAACATACGATATCACCGAATAAAACATACGATATCACTAAATAAACATACGATATCTCTAAATAAAACATACGATATCACTGAGTAAAACATACGATATCACTAAATAAAACCACTGACGGGATAATATATTTTGATTTATAGGTTTATCTAGAAAAGCCAATCGAACGAGTAACTGATTTCGCATATAGAGCTTTCATCCAGTTTTGCTTTTTAACAAATTCGTTGACCATAACGTATATGATAACTTAGGAAATTACACTATATTGTGTTAAAGCCCATGAAAGTGTATCGTTTTCTAATCCCAATTTAAAAGTACAAACGTTTATTGTGCAAAAGTCTTGTTATGATTGATATTTAGATTAGTTTATTCCATACAGGCAACACATTTATAACAGTATTTTGATTCATGTAAAGATAATCGACCTTATAGTACAATGAATTACTCGTAAACGATATTTGAACGTCTTATGCTTTAATCATAACATACCACGTCTTCAATCTGGCGATTGTGATTAAAAGTAAAACTATGATAAAAAAGAATTGTTTACATAAAATGCTGCATGTAAAGCGGAGAAGAAGAAAATGGTCTATTCCAAGTTTTTTAGTTTGACCTTTCCTTTGGTCAAAGCTACATTGTCCGATCTCCAGAAACATTACTCGTTTCAAAGATATTTATATATATTTACCATATTTTTTCTGAGTATATCAAATTATACTAATACTGTATTTTGACTTACAACATTTCAAATCCCATTTTTATGAGCAAATGACTGGATCGCTTCGGCAAAAATTTAACAGGTCATCATGAGAGAGTACCGAAATTATGAATTTTTAAAACGGCTTCTGAGAAGATCCGATAACAAGAAAAATAGTTGACGGGGAGATAACAAAAGAATAACTCAAATTAGGACAAGGGTTAAAAAAAGATAGGTTTCAAAATCGCAATAACTGTTCGATATCATTTATGTTGTGAAACAAAAGTTACTTTTCAGAAACAAAGGAGCAGTAGAAAAAGAAAGTGACTAGAACAAAATAGAAAGGTCTTTCTAAAACAAAGTGGAAAGACTATTAAAATAAATGGGAGACAACATTTCAATATGTTTAACCAGTAGTATGCCTCTCTCTAATAAAGGAACCATTAGAAGTTTGTTGCAGAGTACAATTTCGTTAAAATGTTGTACGGACTTCAAACCACATTATTCAATTGTCACTGTTTGTGTTTGGTTGGTTTGATTGGTAGTGTTCTGGTTGTTTCAGTAGCTGGTATTAGATTAAGAAACAATTAAGAATCTAAGATATCAATTCCTCCAGGTAAAGTTGACCGTATGTGATTTCGGCTATTCTTTGAAGTCATACAGCTCCTCAAGATTTCAAGTATTTATAAATCTTCAGCTTTCATCTGTTTAGGTTTGAGCGTTCTTGGTGAAGATAAATCCACAAAAACGCTTCAGACACACCAAATTGATAAAGTGGTATTTTCTAGCACTGGGTAGATAACATTGCTGGTGGACTGGTAGTCCACGAGGGTACAATCAGCCCAGTAGTCAGTGTTTTAGTTCTTAAATAATGTACAATGTACCGTTCTTGAAAACATTTGATAAAGGAGTAGGCCCAATAAGACCCCTTTTTGGCCCCAAAATATAGCAATTTTACAAAATTATTAAAAGGTAAATTTTTAGCTATTTATTGGAAAGAAGAATACTTCTGTTACATAAATATGGGTTGTTTTTGACAATACAATGCACATGTATCGGGTACGTACTAGCATCATTAAGTCATGCTAAATTACTGAAATCTTCGAAATTTTAGCATTTTGGTTAATTTTTAGACAGTTTCCGTCTGAAATGGAAGTGGCCGCATTTGTGTTCATTCTTAATATTTAAATGTAAGTTGTATTTTATGATAATACATAGCCTTTATAAAGGTTGAGAATGAACACGGATGCGGCCACTTTCATTTTTGACAAAAACCATCTGAAAAGTGACATATCATGACATATTTGATAGATTTTTTATATTTAAGCTTGAATTTGAGCGTCTTTAATGACTAAATCAGTTCAAATCTTTCACAAACTAATTGAATCGACTGAAGTAGACATTTAAATGTTTAAAAAGTGTCCAAAATCTTTCATCAAATGAACCTGAAATTTGAGGCCAAAATCGGCCCTTACCGGACCTACTCCTTTAGAAATAATTAAGAGTTAGAATTAATGAAGAAACTAAGGTTCTAACTCCCTAAGGATATGTTGCCTTAGGTAGACTAAGGTTCTAACTCCCTCAGGATATGTTGCCTTAGGTAGACTTAGGTTCCAACTCCCTCAGGATATGTTGCCTTAGGTAGACTAAGGTTCTAACTCCCTCAGGATATGTTGCCTTAGGTAGACTTAGGTTCTAACTCCCTCAAGATATGTTGCCTTAGGTAGACTAATGTTCTAACTCCCTCAGGACATGTTGCCTTTGGTAGACATAGGTTCCTACTCCCTCAGGATATGTTGCCTTTGGTAGACTTAGGTTCTAACTCCCTCAGGATATGTTGCCTTTGGTAGACTTAGGTTCTAACTCCCTCAGGATATGTTGCCTTAGGTAGACTAAGGTTCTAACTCCCTCAGGATATGTTGCCTTAGGTAGACTTAGGTTCTTACTCCCTCAGGATATGTTGCCTTAGGTAGACTAAGGTTCTAACTCCCTCAGGATATGTTGCCTTAGGTAGACTTAGGTTCTAACTCCCTCAAGATATGTTGCCTTAGGTAGACTAATGTTCTAACTCCCTCAGGACATGTTGCCTTTGGTAGACATAGGTTCCTACTCCCTCAGGATATGTTGCCTTTGGTAGACTTAGGTTCTAACTCCCTCAGGATATGTTGCCTTAGGTAGACTTAGGTTCTAACTCCCTCAGGATATGTTGCCTTAGGTAGACTAAGGTTCTAACTCCCTCTAGATATGTTGCCTTAGGTAGACTCAGGTTCTAACTCCCTCAGAATATGTTGCCTTAGGTAGACTTAGGTTCTAACTCCCTCAGGATATGTTGCCTTAGGTAGACTTAGGTTCTAACTCCCTCAGGATATGTTGCCTTAGGTAGACTAATGTTCTAACTCCCTCAGGACATGTTGCCTTTGGTAGACATAGGTTCCTACTCCCTCAGGATATGTTGCCTTTGGTAGACTTAGGTTCTAACTCCCTCATGATATGTTGCCTTAGGTAGACTTAGGTTCTAACTCCCTCAGGATATGTTGCCTTAGGTAGACTAAGGTTCTAACTCCCTCTGGATATGTTGCCTTAGGTAGACTCAGCTTCTAACTCCCTCAGAATATGTTGCCTTAGGTAGACTTAGGTTCTAACTCCCTCAGGATATGTTGCCTTAGGTAGACTTAGGTTCCAACTCCCTCAGGATATGTTGCCTTAGGTAGACTAAGGTTCTAACTCCCTCAGGATATGTTGCCTTAGGTAGACTTAGGTTCCTACTCCCTCAGGATATGTTGCCGTTGGTAGACTTAGGTTCTAACTCCCTCAGGATATGTTGCCTTAGGTAGACTTAGGTTCTAACTCCCTCAGGATATGTTGCCTTAGGTAGACTAAGGTTCTAACTCCCTCTGGATATGTTGCCTTAGGTAGACTCAGGTTCTAACTCCATCAGAATATGTTGCCTTAGGTAGACTTAGGTTCTGACTCCCTCAGGATATGTTGCCTTAGGTAGCCTTAGGTAGACTAAGGTTCTAACTCCCTCGGGATATGTTGCCTTAGGTAGACTAAGGTTCTTAATCCCTCAGGATATGTTGCCTTAGGTAGACTAATGTTTTAACTCCCTCAGGACATGTTGCCTTTGGTAGACTAAGGTTCTAACTCCCTCAGGATATGTTGCCTTAGGTAGACTAAGGTTCTAACTCCCTCAGGATATGTTGCCTTAGGTAGACTAAGGTTCTAACTTCCTCAGGATATGTTGCCTTAGGTAGACTTAGGTTCTAACTCTCTCAGGATATGTTGCCTTAGGTAGACTGAGGTTCTAACTCCCTCAGGATATGTTGCTTTAGGTAGACTGAGGTTCTAACTCCCTCAGGATATGTTGCCTTAGGTAGACTAAGGTTCTAACTCCCTCAGGATACGTTGCCTTAGGTAGACTAAGGTTCTAACTCCCTCATGATATGTTGCCTTAGGTAGACTAAGGTTCTAACTTCCTCAGGATATGTTGCCTTAGGTAGACTTAGGTTCTAACTCTCTCAGGATATGTTGCCTTAGGTAGACTGAGGTTCTAACTCCCTCAGGATATGTTGCTTTAGGTAGACTGAGGTTCTAACTCCCTCAGGATATGTTGCCTTAGGTCGAGGTTCTAATTCCCTCAGGATATGTTGCCTTAGGTAGAATAAGGTTCTAACTCCCTCAGGATATGTTGCCTTAGGTAGACTTAGGTTCTAACTCCCTCAGGATATGTTGCCTTAGGTAGACTTAGGTTCTAACTCCCTCAGGATATGTTGCCTTAGGTAGCCTTAGGTAGACTAAGGTTCTAACTCCCTCAAGATATGTTTCCATAGGTAGACTAAGGTTCCAACTCCCTCGGAATATGTT